TTGTGATAAATAGGTTGAGCCACTAGATGGCTGTAGAGAGCTGTCAAACCTTTTCTCTGTGCCTCACGATGTATTGTTTGCTTTATCACCAAGCTCCACTAATGCCATAATAAGCACAATCATCAGGAGTTTTAGGAAGCACACAGCTATTGCAAACAGTTTCAATACACTGATTCTCTAAGCTGCAGGAACGGATGTTTACTGTGTTCAACCTAAAGATGCAATGGGAATTTAACTTTATTAATGATAATACCACCACTCCCCCAACCCTTTGTATTAATTTCATTAACTGGGTTTTAATTGAACCACTGGGAAGTATTAAAGAATCTAATGTGGTTGGCTGCTAATTAGTAATTAGAGGCAATTGCAATACTGATTTTAGTCATTGGCTGTTTGTGGCCCCGGGCAAGTTACTCATTGCACACAACTTCCCCTATTACTTTAATATCGATTACAGCCAGCACATTAGTCCTGCTGATCCTCATGCAGCACAGAAACACCAACACAATGTTATTGAGCTAGCTGTTGGCCTAATTCAGTCCTAGAGAGAGACGTTTTATCTCCATTTCTGATGTAAGAACCAGCAATCACCCGATCCATTTGAAGTTTAACAGCACTAAGTTTACTGATTCACCAAAGTGCTTGCAGTGTCTTTGTACTTTGTTGATGTTGGGAAGACTAACAACATTTATTGTCATTTTGTACGTCCTCTCAGGGTGTTTCTTCAGCCACATTCGGACTTGACTGATAATGCGGTGACAGGAAGCTTTCTGTGCTTCTGTTGGGTCTGGACAGCATTGTAGCAGTGGGGAGATTACAATACAAGCATGTGGAAAATAATAGCCATGACCTCATTACTGCAATTATTTAAATTAATGTAGTCATCAGCGTTGGCATTAATAAATAATTATTCATAATTTAACGTGTGAAGATGTTTAAAACCTATTAAGGGGTCTTTGTGAATGGAAGGGTTCAACGTGTTTGCAAGGTTTTATCAGTGTAAAATATTACATGTAATGGAATTAGACTATTCAAAGGCTGATTATCCATAACTGGCCATGAAATAAGAGTTAAAAAAGCAATTTTTGACAGTTTTGCAAAGTCTTAGCACTCGATATGTTCTGTTTTTTTTTTTCTTCTTTTTTTTGATTAAATGTTAGAAGGTGTGTGTCAGGAATGAAAAGGTTTCATTTTAACACAAAAAATATATATTTGCAGGGCTAATGAATTTCAGGAATAGAGAGCCCAGATTTATGCAGAGATGCCTATTTAAAATGCAAAGTGTCTCTCTATACTTGAATCAAAGAAAGATGAGCAAGAGTGCCAAACAATAAGGCAGTTGAGGCTGTAATTATTAGTGTGGTGGTGGTGGGGGGGCATCACAGGTTTGCTCTGGGTTTTATTAACATCACTTACCTCAGTTGATTGATTTTGTTGTTTGAAAAAGAAAAAGCGATTCTTTAGACTGTTTTGCTATTTTTATAGAAGAAAATACATTTTTATGGGTTTTCACATTTGAAATGCGAGGAGCTGAAACCAGCTTATCTTTGTACTGTGGTAAGCCCTTTTCACACATGAATTTTGGACAGGTTTGGGAGAAACGGGTCGGGATATTTTCCACAGTTGTCCTTTGTCACGTGTAGCAAACAGCAAGCAATAGTCCTCTTCAAATGTGTTTGCACTCCTGAAAATACTCTTTGCAGTTCAGGTGAGGGAGCTATGTGGATAGAGCATGCAGGAGGCACCAGACTATTACCTGCACAATGGTGCAATCGAATATCATGCAGCCTTTGTACAAGGGAGACCAGCTGATGTCCAAACCTGCTGTATCTGATACATGTCTGTGCTGGGCGCATGGTTGAAAACAGTGATGAATGCATGAAAGAAAAAATAAGCAAGAAAATGTAGTATATTCAGTTAGTGTTGATCTCTAATTGATCTTTATTTACAACCATATTTAAAGTAACCATGCTGCATGCTTTAAGAGTATTAAATCCCATGAATTGGCACTCCCCTGAGGAACCAACCTTCACCCTTTTGCCAGCACTTCTGGATCATCTCAAAAAGCAATCACTAAATCGATGTCAGAAACTGGATCTTTATGAAACCTTTGTCCAGATGTCGTTGCGAAAGTTAGAAAATTGTGTTTCATAAGACCTGAAAATGGGTTGTAGTGAGCTCAGTGTGTTCCCACAGAGAGAAGATCACAGATGTCCTCGGAAACAAGCTGTTATTAAATATAGTGCTGCTTTAATCCACTTTTGTCAGCTTGTTCTGCCTCTCAGACAAGTGGAGGAGGACATTTAGAGAAGATGTGTACATGTGTGCGAGTGTACACATGTGCCTGTCTCATTTTCTAGCTCGCGTTCGCCTCTCTCACTCCCATATCCTGTCGTACATTTCTAAACATCAATTTCTTCCTCAGAACAAGCCCTTACATTAAGTGAATGGCACTTGATGGTGAAGACGTTTTAATGGACCCTCTCGATCCGCAACGTTATACATAAGCTTAACACTGTAATGACATTGTGTAGTTCCTCACTCTCAGCCATCGGTGGTTGTTGACCGTAACACGTCCTCCTCTGGGCTACACGAGCTCCCAGAGTAATTACGACTATCAAATTAAGCTGAATTCATATCCCATTGAGTATAAAATATACTTAATGTAATTTGTGACCTGCAGGACTGGATTGTGTCTGCAAAAACTGTTTGAGCTGCTGGCAGAGTAAAAAAAAAAAAAAAAGGAAATTTGTTTAACCTAAAGACTGCAGCTGGAGACGGCATTGATATCAGAACTAGAGAGGTGGGGGATGAATGCAGGCACATCCCTTTTAATAAGCAGAGAGGACTTATAATGCCTCTCAAAAAAGGTCTTTGTGGAAAATAAAGTAGAAAGTAGTTTGAATTGAATTAGAGCTCATTTCTCATGTTGAGAAAAAAAGGGTGGAAGATCCCAGTGGTGACACATCTGTGCTTTTAGTGACATGTTTCTTGTGGCAGAGAAGCTTGGCACGCACTGAAGGCTCAGCAGGAAGTTGGTTCCCTGCTTACCAGTCCATACGCTTTACTACTATCTGTTTTGTGTGAACACCTTCTTCTCTTCATCACACGCGAGAAGAGACTGTGTGTCTGTGTCAGTGTGACATGAAATGGCCAGAGAGAAAAATGATGGGTAAAAGTAATTTTGAGTGAAGAAAGACACAAATAGAAGAACAGGTTTCAATCATCAAGTGGCTGGAGGTGTGTCATGATGGCTCACAGGGGAGATGTGGCCCAATGTGTCTGACCTAAATTTTGCCGAAAGGTGGTCACTCCTGAACCTCCACTTGACGGTAAACCTTAGCTCTGACCCCCGTTTGACTTTGTGTCAGAATTTTTTATTTTAGGCTTGTTTGTAACTTTCAAGGTTGCTGTCATCCAGACATGGGTGACTGTCAGGTTGATGTACCTCATGGATTTATTCAGACAAACCCCCTAACAGAGCTACTTTACAGGTGCATTTTGTGTCATATGTACATTTAAACAAATGACTGTGTGTTTATGGTGTATGGTGCTGTAGCTTGTGAGGGCGCTGCCTTTGCCCTTTAAACACAGTTTGATCAACTGCTTTTCATGTTGTTGGACTAAAATAATTTTATTGTGACTGTAGAAACATTGTGGCCATTCTCGACTTATCCTCTTGCAGATATCTAGTGATTTGTGACATTTGCAAAGGTATGGGCTTAAACGTTTGTCCTTCAGAGCAACCTGATTTAGGCTGATTCTTTCAGAATGATGGATACCTTATTCTGAAATACTAAAGGCGTGTCTGGTGGTTTTTTTAAATTGACCACTGAGAAGTGAAGACAAAGCTGAATAAAGTAAACCGGAACAGTATGTCGATGTCATGTAGAGTCAGCCAAGAGCTGATGAAATGCTCTTTTTAATAATAATGGATTGGATTTATATAGCGCTTTTCAAGGCACCCAAAGCGCTTTACAATACCACTATTCATTCACTCTCACATTCACACACTGGTGGAAGCAGCTACGGTTGTAGCCACAGCTGCCCTGGGGCAGACTGACAGAAGCGAGGCTGCCATATCGCGCCATCGGCCCCTCTGGCCATCACCAGTAGGCGGTAGGGTAAAGTGTCTTGCCCAAGGACACAACGACCAGGACAGAGAGCCCGGGGATCGAACCGGCGACCTTCCGGTTACAGATACGCTTCCCAACCCCCTGAGCCACGGTCGCCCTATGCTATTATTTCCAAATTTTAATTTTCCACAGTTTGTAAACTCACTAAATTTTATAATACGACACAAATTTAAACAAAGAAGAACAGACTTAGCACTAGTGGGTATATATAAAATCTGTAAAATGAGAACCCAAAAGAAGCTAGTTTCCGTAGAGCAAAAACAACAAACACCAGCTGACAACAAATATGAAACCGATCCATATGAGTGTTGAAGCTGAATGTGCAGCTGCCTCTGACTTCATTGATTTCTGCATCGATGTTCACTGGGGTTTTAGAAGAATTAGTGCAGAGTGCATTGCGAATGTACAGGGGGCTCAGGAGTTTGAAGCCCTTCTAACACTTCTTCTTCAGTGAAAATGTGGAGAGTGGACTACTCGGAGTATAGATTTTTGTTGGTGAGTGACTCAATGAATTATACCGTGATGGGTAGTGATATGCAGGCAATCTCTTCCAATCACATCCTCTACTTTAAAGATGATTTTGACACTCATCTGATGTTCCAGGATAACTTTCATTAATTTATCTAGAAGGAGAAAAAGGGGAGGTCATTTGCATCAAAATGCATACAACTGACTGTCAGAGACACACACACCTGAGCTGCACACAGACTGCCAACGGAAACACTGAGTCTGTTACTCTTCCTGACAGCTTTTCTTCATTACTGAATGATGGTGTTCCACGTAACAAAAGCCAAATGTATGAGTGCTATTTGCTTTCTTGAGTAAATGCTCAAAGCGTGCTGTTTTGTGTGTTTTGTTTTTCAGTCCTGTAAATGGAGAGGAGCAAAAAGAGGTGTACTCGTACGCGGACCAGCTGCCAGTGTCTGAGATCATCCATCAGGTAAGACACCGATACTAAACCGCACGAGGAAGCCCATGTCGCTACAAATGAGGTGTTTGTCAAATACCTTTCATGTAAGTTTTCATGCTGGTCAACTTTTATGTGTCTTTTATGTGTTTGCGTATGCAGAGCTTCTTCTTCTTTTCTTCCCTGGCTCTTGTGTTTTGCTTCTTTTGTTGTTGTTGTTATTTTCAAGTGTGTCCATGCTCCTCCTTAATTTGGACACAGAACAGAAAGTTATGTGCAACATCCACCAACAGATGTCTTTGTGCCGTTTCCATGGCGACATCTCTAAGTGTGAAATGCAACTGCCTCCCGGTCTCGGTGCGGAGGGGCCACCATGAAATCCAGCAGAAAGGATAGGCAGGATTGTGGAAAAGAATTGTGCATTCACCTCATTCCCAAATGAATTGTGACTTTCACTCGGGTCGACCTTCACAAATGAACACCTCTTCCTCCTCAATCCAGCTTTAGAATGCGCGCTGTGCATTCAGAATAGCCCGGCTCTGGTCTTGTATTACTCTCGTAAGATTTTTCCATTATGAGACTATTAAAAATACAATTTCCGTATTTCTACTTCAACTTATGCCTCACAAAAGTAAAGAATCCACATTAATCTTTGCCTCGAGCAAGAGTAGACATTATTGGTGATTACATTTGGGGTTCAGCCTTGCGAGCTGCCCGCCTTTTTAAAATACAGAGAGTGGACACGTTAATATCGACGCGTACACAGTGCATTTGCAGGGCAAGACCAGATTTGATTGAACTTTGGAAACCTAAAAAGTCACTTTGTATGCACTCTGAATGTGGAGTGTGCTGCTTAGTTTTTCTTTGCGTGTTTTAATTAGTTCCTGCACATGTAAATGCGATGTATGATGATCAGATGAAATGTGGTGAACGGAGCATCTAGTTAGTTTTGCTTTTACTGACATGTTTTTTTTAGCTTTGCATAGCGCTCATCTAACATAGCATTATTCAGGTGCAATACTGCATATTGTCTGAACATTGCATGCCGTCAAAGTCATTTTACATTGTGGGCCACATACAGCACACTTTGATCTTCAGTGGGCCGACACAGTGAAACTTTCCTGTCTGTCAGTCTTAATTTGAACTTAATCTGTGAGATAGCTCAATATAAGTGCAAGTTAAACGGTATGTCTCAGTTTTTCTACATGACAAAAAAATCCTGCTGTAGTGAATGAAAAAAATCTGTCTGCATGACTCTTTGTGCTTAAGTTGTAAGAAATAAACTGCAGACAGTAGATAGTGGGGAAAAACAGGAACGTTTCTTTTATGACTTAATTAATGTATTTAAGAATGGATGCCTTCCTTCACATTTTCAAAAGTCGTCCAATGAGCCAGATTGTAGTCGTTGCTGGGCGTATTCTGGCCTCTGAGCCTTATGTTTGACACCCCTGTTCAAACAGACACATTGAAGCTTTGCCTAATCTAATTAGTGAAAATAATTGGCCAGATGATAGCTGAAGGATAAATTGTATTAAGCCACAACATTTTCTTGGTTCTTTTTTTTCAGTCTTTTTTGTTTCTTATTCTTTGTTCTTCAAACAGTTTTAGCCAATGTTTATATTTGTCGAAATGCTAAATGGTCTGTTTGGATTTAACCAAACTTTATGACTGTGTTTTTTTTTTTTGTTTTTTTTTAAAGTAAATTTTACTAACATCTCTACAGACTGATTAGCTCTGGCATTCCAGCATGAAGGAATTAAAGTAAACTACTAGACATATTTTAAACTCAATGAAACTGGTCATATTTACAGTGAGCATCTAGGTTCAAATAAATGTGGGCCAACATCATATATTGGTAAAATTAACTTATGATTAAAACAAATTTTTCCCAAGGCAAGCCACAGTAAGCTGTCTGCATTTTAATAGACTGGTGAAAGCCCTGTGCAACCTTTCTTTGGATTAGTTAAATGTTAACCAGCCATCCACAGTGGAAAAACCCACAGATAATTAGCACCATAAGCCCTTTTTTTTTTTTTTTTTTGTAGATTCAACTCATTCATCTGGGATGAGGTTGTTATTCCAGATTCAGCCATGAAAATGGATCAAGCAGAAATGTAGACTGTTGGGACCAAAAAACGAGTTGACATATGACAGTTGACGCTGATACATGATACAGGTGATGTCACATGTGGAACACCTGACAACGTCCAGGCAAAAAGACAGCATATCAAAAAATATTTCTACCTTCTCCATTGAGTGACAGCTTCCACAATGTGGAGCTCTAATGTAAAAAAAACAGAAAGGCAAACAGAAAATCAGACTGTGCTTTTGTTGAGGCTCAAAGAGTGATCCAAAGTCATTTTGTTCTGCTGACATCATGCAGCGTGAAAGATGGCAAGCTGATCAGACACCGTGAACACCTCATCAGACAAAGATATTTTTTTTAGTCTGAGTAATATTACACTGTAACTAGGTTCTCTTGCTTCAGAATGTATTGAAGCATTTAGGACATAATAGTCAGAAAAGTCCCACAGGAGCTGATGAAAAGAAAATAGAGCTAAAAGAAGAATGAATAATGAACTTGGATTGAAGAGGAGGGCAGTCATAACTCCAAATTATTGTTCATTTTGCTCAGTGTCTGCTACAACAACCTTATTTTATTAACAATATTTCATTTCGATTGAGTAGTAGCAAGCTAAAATATGTTCATTTAATAAATGAAATGGTGCACCACAAACAGTTTTATTGTTTTATGTTAATAAAAAGCCTTTTTGTCTACATAATAGATGCTTCCTAAAGTCTATGTTAGCAGTGTCCCTCCAGTGCGTATTCTGCACTTAATGGATTCACCTTGTCGTTTTAATATCTGTTTATAATAAGCATTCAAGACTTAGTTCTTCCTTACAGTAAGTCTTAGTCATAGGCATGCTGTCTAAACTTAATGGAATGTCATCTTGCAAAGCCTTCGAGAGATCATGGATTAAAGTGAAAATAAAATTGGACTATTTAATACAACAGTTTTTCTGCTGAGCAAAATGTGACAGTTGAGCAATTGTTTCTCTCACTTGAGAGAAGTCGTAGGTTGAAATACTAAGGATTTGAAAGTACAGCCCTCCTCCTGCAGCTCATGCATCTCTTTCTTAATGAGTACGGCTGTTTATGATTGACAAGCCACTGCCAGAAAGCCAGCCCAGGAGTTAGTCTTTTTTTAATAGCTAATCATTAAAAGCCATTCAAAATGAAATCAGCAGCTTACTCTCACAGAGAAAAATAACAACAATCTCTAAAACCAACCTGAGGCTAATGCTATCATGCAATTTTGTCAGTCTTGTAAGCACTTTATGATATTGACATTTTTTTCCCGTTTATTCTCATCTACTTTTTTAGTTCCTTTTGTGATAGATTACTTTTTTTATGTGAACTTTAAAGTTTGTGCAGTTATTCTCTGTGTAAATATCAACTTTTCCTGCAGGATTTCTCATACTCAGTTAGGATTTACACCATCAGAGTGAAATGCCTGGACACAGAAAACGCATTTTCTAGACTAGATTGTCTTAGGTTTGAGGACTAGAGGAGGACTAGAGGAGGGGAAGAATTTTTTGTCATACCACTGATATCAAATGAATGATTGTTATGGATTTTGCCTAATGATGCCAAAAAATTATTATACCAGATTACTACTACAGTAAATTACCTTGGCTTTCAAGGTGCTTTGAGATGCTTAACCAAGTGTCCAAATGGGCATTGGGATTTTGAACCAAAGCCTGGATTGAAGCAGCTGTTTTTGAGGGGTCTGAAGAACGGTGGTCTGCACTTCTGTTAAAAGGGGTACAATGATCACTTAGAGTCATTTGTAAAGGATAAACATTTGAAATGCTTCTGATTCAGGCTTCAATGGCCACAATAGAGCTGCTGTCGCTGTCGTTTGCTTTGATTCTTTCTTTTTTTGTCTCCCTCATGTCAACAGACACTAAACTATTGGTGTTGATAGCAGAGGTCAAATCCAGCTGAACCGAGTAAATGGCAAAATATAAAAGAAAATCTTTGGATCCTGCTGCTGGAAACATCACTGGCTGACACTGACTTTAGTGTGAACACAGAAGTCACAGTTAGTTGGGCGAAATGAATGTAGCTGACCAAAGGCCTGAGTCCTGTCAGTTGCTTATTGAGTGTCATGATTGGAAACAGGAGGGGGTCTCCACAGCCAGCGGCACTTTAGGAAATTAGCTGAAGACTGCCCCAGATAAATGGCAAAAACTGGTCTCTTAGAGATCAGCTGCCTTCTCATATAAGAATAGTTTATTAATTAAGTTGTTTTTTTTTTTAGTAATAATCTCACTATTCAAAATAAAGGCAAACTAACAAAACAGTGGCTTATAGAGATGCTCTCCTTTAAAGCGCTGCTGTCTGCTACTTGATTTCATTTCTTGGTGCACTCTATTTTGGCTCCCTCCAGCTTCTCTTTATATGTGTGTGTGTTTTTGTTTTTTCCCCTCTCCCTCTTATATTTGCACCCAGCACCCAACAGACAAACACACTCGTCAACCCAGTGACCCCTGACAGAGATTTTGATTATAAGCCTGCACTCCTGCTGGATTGAAGATGGGAGTCCTGGCAGACTGAGTCATCTATCTGCCCGTCTCCAAAGTCCATCTGTACTGCAACAGAATGACCAATGTCCGTCAAGCCCATTGACAGTTCTCTTCTTGTTGATTAGCTGTCAAATAGTGTTCAGTACTCTCAGATATCTTATTGTTGTTGTTTTTTTTCCATTTCCTATTAGACCAGACCATGGCTTGTAAATGGAAAAGTCATCAAAGTGACTAGATATATGGCTGGGCTGCATGGTGTGTAGACAAGCTTCTCTCATTGCGATTGTGGATGTTAGGAGATGATTAATGCCCTGTCACTGTTGGCAGTTGTCTCACTAGTGCTTTCAGGGTTAGTCGCCTTGTCCTGACACCTTCTCTTTCCAAATTCACACATCTCATCCGATTGTCATTGCCAAATCACTGTGGGTTCATTTCTGGAAATATCTAGAAGGAACTCTTCTTCCCCCCTCCCTTCCTCTCATGTGTGTTGTACTTCTTTTCGCTTCCCTCGCTGCTGTGAGTCCTGGTCTCTGGCGTCAAATTGTTATTTGTTCTTTTGCCAGCTTGACGCCACCCCATATGGCTCTAGAGAATTGAAAATGGAAACAGTGAAAATTAATGCTTCGCCTGCTTCCTAACCCTCTCCCAATCCTCCTACAGTATCCTCTTTGCAGCAGCAACTCTTTTCAGAGCTGAATGTTAGGATTGTATGGATCACAGGAACGGCTCACTGTGTCAGTCTCTGTTTAATCAAATATCAACTGGAATTTTCTTTGCTCAGTAATTATGAATAATATCCTCTAAAAAAAAGAGAGAGACAAAACAAATCATGCTTTATGAGAGACTAATGCACCCACTACTATTACTGTTTCAGCACTTGCGTAAGGCTTAAATGTCACAGCAATACAGTGGAGTGTCCTGGCAGTGCACAGCAGCTGCTGTTCCTTCATTTGGCTTTGCACAACATAAAATTTGCTGCAGTTTTGACCTTGGAGTGCTAGTGTTTGGCAGGGTGTTTCGGAACTCCCTCAGCGACCATTAGCATCCTGCAAGCCCATGTTAATTAGCTCCGATCAATCAGATGGGTAGCTCTTAATTGATTGTACTGGTGAGCTGAACACACAACACAATGTGTATGTAATGGTAACATGCTGCTTGAGTGTTGGTTCCTGTCCTTGGCGGAGAGATGTGAATGGTTTTGTCAGTCAAGGTCAGTGAACACTGGCTACTTAACTGCTTCCCTCTGACCTTCCTATTTCTAGTAGTTTTATCCTCTGCCTCCCACCTGAGTTTCCTTTTTCTATTTCGTTTTTACTTTGGGGTAAAAGGGCACTGATACAAAACTCTTATGCACATCTAATGACAGAGTATAGCAGACATTTCCCACTTTAAAAAGCTGCTATACAACCAAAGTTTCTATCAGTAATTTAGGGTATTGGTTAATTGACATAAAAATAATACCTTAATCAAATAACTTACATTAACAGTTAAGTGTAACATTTACAAACGTGAACTAATTTCACGCTCTCCTAATTTAATGTTAACATTTTTAATTTGGATTCCTCGCTCCATAAGATGCGTTGCTTCTGATTTTTAGTCCAGTTGTTGTGTAACTTGCCGCACCTCAGCCTTTTCTCCAAGTTTACGTTCCTTAAGAATAGCTTCTTGACAGCCGCCCTTCCACTGAGACCATTTCTGATGAAGATTCAGTGAATGGATCAACTGAAGTACCAGATGCATCTCTCAGGTCCCGAGTCGGGTCTTTGATGGACTTTTTTCCCCCTCTATTTCTCTGCTGTAGATTTTGTTTATTTAAGGCCTAACACTTCTTTTGTCCTCTACTTGTCCACTTTCCTCAGATTTTTAAGGACACACTTCACACCATGCTGAGATATATCAGTAATCCACTGAGAATCACCTGAGAATATCAAACTTTGTTATCAGATAAAGAAATGGGAACCAGTTATCCATTTGAAAGGCTGCTTAGTAACAAAGTGCCTAAATATACAATTTAAAGCACATTTTAAAGTCAGTGTTAAGTGGTTTGACACTAATCTATAAGATTTGTTAGTCACAATGACTGAACTAAAAAT